GGGCCACGTTTTCACCCTGAAACAGACGCCGTTTGCTGTTCTCACGCTGAGGCTCTGCAGGGAGGCCGCCATCCTCCCAGCGCTGCTGGCAAACTAACAGGAAACAGGCAGGCGTGTCGCTCACCTGCTGTCACGCCGCGGCCCACAATGCACCTCTTCCTCCTGTAATCAGGGCGCCGGCGCGCCGCCTTTAGGCCCCACAAACGCCTCGTTTGAAGGCTGGAGAGTCGGAGGAGGAGGCTGGGGGCGCTGACGGTACGATGTAAGAGGGGAGGGGGGGGGGAACGCCTCAGAAGTTTTTAAGGGGGCGTGGCGCGGGTCCGGGGGCCGGGGGGGGCGGCGGCGTGGGGGGGGCAGGGCAGAGCAATGGGGGTGCTGACTGCCAGCAGATGTCACAGTGACACCCTGACCCCCCCACACCAATGCGCTGATGCTGCTCTGCACCAAGTCAGAGCGGGAGTTTGCTACTTTTGGGTGAGCTGTGACCTGGATGGAGGCGCCCAGGGCACCGTGCGCCCAGCTCTGAGGAAACAGGGTTAGGGTCAGGGTTAGGGTTACGGTTAGGGACATCTCTTTAGGTTCAGGATCAGGGTAATCCCTTCTGGTCCACTCGGGAGACGGTTTCCCTTCGGCTTGTTTTGGGCTGCCATAGTTCCTTTTTTTTCCTGAGGGGAGCCGGTCTGCTGTCTGGACCTGGTTTGGTTCTGGACTCACTTCATCCAGATGTTTCCAGCTTCTTTGATGTCGGTTCTGTGGCAGCCTGACCCAGACCCAAACCACAGCCCGACCCAGACCCACAGAGAAGTGGGTCCGGCTGTGGGTGAACTGTCTGACGCTGCTCCCTGGTCCGCAGACGCCGTACCACGTCAACCTGCTGCTGGCGGGCTACGACGAGGCCGACGGGCCGGGCCTCTTCTACATGGACTACCTGTCGGCCCTGGCCAAGGCGCCCTTCGCCGCCCACGGCTACGGCGCCTTCCTCACCCTGTCCATCCTGGACCGGTACTACAAACCAGGTCTGCTGGCACGCCGTCCCTGGGGGGGGGGGGTCTGGACCAGGTCTGAGTCAGGTCTGAACCAGGTCCCTAATTGTTGTGTGTTGCAGATCTGACCCGAGAGGAGGCCGTGGACCTGCTGAAGAAGTGCATCGAGGAGGTGGGTGTGGGTTCCTCTGTGGGTCGGTTCCTCTGTGGGTTCTTTCCAGGTTCTAACTGCTTCTCTGACCTCCTGCAGCTCAACAGACGCTTCATTCTCAACCTGCACTCCTTCAACGTCCGCATCATCGACAAGGAAGGCATCCACGACATGGAGAAGCTGACCGTGGACGCCAAGTGACACCAAGTGACTGCCAGCCCCTTTTGTACCTCTTACCAATAAAAAGTGACACCGTGGAGGTCCAGACTCGTCTTTGTCCTGAGCCGGAGGCCCAGAGCAGCTTCTGCCCCAATCATTGTATTATAATTAACAACTGTTACTTCTGGAAGCCAGAATGAGTGTTTTATTCACATCCAGTGAAATAAGGGAATAGATTTAACTCTGTTGACATGCTAGCATAGTTTAGGCAGCCCAGCCGCAGCTGGTGAATCCGTAGGTTACAGATGTTCACCACGGCAACCAGCCAGCCAAACATTCCATCATGGCTGCCCCCTGAAAGGGGAGGAAATCGCCAAGGCAACCAGCCAAACATTCAATCATGGAAAAGGAGGGGATCACCACCGCTAACCCTCATGACCGCATGCACCCCCACACATCTGGCCCTGCCGTTAGCATCATGCTAGCTTATAGCTAGCCGCTAAAGCGCTTCCCTGCTGGTATCCATCCATGTGGAGCCAGAGGGTGCTGGTCCGGCCACAGGGCTGTAACTAACAGCCATCCGGACCCATCAGGCTGAAATGGAGGCCTCGGCTCGGCTTTTTCTGAGTAAACGTGTTGGTTGCTGTGAATTTTCTCTCCTTTGTTTGGTGAGTGACGTGAGCTGTTTGTGATGCGGCATCCTGCCAGACGGCAGCGAGGTGTAATCCCCGGAGCCTCGGTCGGGCTCCTCAGGAACGCCTCGGCTCCTCAGGTGTCGACGCCAGTCGCCTAATTCCACTCGATAAAAGGCTTCTGTGAGCGCACGTGGCCCAGGTGTCACACTCGCACACTTACACTTTGAGCAATAACACACAGCAGCTCAGCACAGCGTGAAATAATTACCGCTAACCTCTGATTTACATTCTCAGCTCGATTCTGTGGCTCTTTGTTCCGTCGTTGGATTCGATGCTGCTCCGTTAAACTTCCTGCTTCACATCTCAGTGGGAGGCTTCTGTCAATTTTATGTCTTTGTTTCTAAAAATGTCTCTGTAAAAACACGGTTCTCACACAGCTGCTGTACCTGGGAGTCATGTGACCCCCTCCACCCCTCCCCTCCACTCCACTCTGTTTAACCAGGACAAGACCCAACACAGTCTCGGCTTTCCAGGGAATAAACGCTGCTCAGCATCTCAAACATCTCCCCTTTCTACCTGCTGTCTGCTCCCGTCTCCTCAGCCTCCGTCACCCCTCCTCCACCCATCCCTTCCTCCCCCCCCCCCCCCCCCATGCACATCTCACCCCGTCTCCAACGCTCAGCGGGCCGCTCGCCGCCTCTCGCCGCCTGCAGGCAAACATATGCCGCTCTTCCCATCAGATTCCGGAGTGTTTCAGAGGGTTGTTTAATGTTTATTAATCACCTGTCTGCAGCACCGAGGCAACGCGCACGCACCCGGCGTGCACGTGCACTCTAACGCACGCCGCCTCTGCTGTTTGTGGAGCCGCAGAGCTAACAGTTCACACAAATAACAGCCTGATCGGTGTTATCACACAGACTTTTACACTTGTTTCAAATGAAGGAGCCAATGAGGAGAGTTTCTCCCGAAAAGCTTCAGCTAGCATGAGCTAGCATGAGCCCTTCCCAGCCAAGCTGTTAGCATTAACTACTGGTAAAGATAACAGCTCAGGAAATAAACCCAGATAATTATTTAGCAGCTGCTTCACTTCCAGCTCTGACAGCTGGACCTGATCCCTTTGTGGCTGAACCTCTGCAGGCCAGCGTTGAACTGAACCCAAGTGTGAGCTAACCCATAGTTAGCTCTGCTGGAGCATTGCCCTCAGACAGAGCTCATCCTCTGGGCTCTAGATATTCCAGCTTTAAAATGTTAGATTTTGTAACGTTGAGCTGAAGGGAAACCTGTGAATCAGAGTTTGTTCCATCTGATGAAGGCTTCAGAGCCAAACTGAACCCCAGAACTCCTTCAGAGGAAGTTCAGAGGCTCCTCTGAACCCTGCTGCTTCCTGCACACCAGGACTGGTCCAGCCTCCAGTCTTGTTAGCTTCTTTTAGATGTTCTGGACCGTCTAAAATCATCATAAGATCCAGATTCACTGAGGAAATGCAGTAAAATGAAGCTGAATTGGAGTTTTTGTACTTTATGCAGGTCAACAAAAAAACCATCGTAACAGTTTTTGAAATATCCAAGAATTTACAATATAATCAAAATGGAAGTAAAAAGGTTCTGAGATACCTGAAAAACACTCCTTAACATCCACCATCAGCTCTAATTCTTTAATAATATATTACATTTATGCTGTAATACAATAATAATAACAACAGTAATAACATTAATAATAAACAGACACAAAGTACAAAATGATTTGTGTTACTCGTTTAAATTACCAACACGTGGAACTAAAGAAAACAGATCTGTTAGCTGCCCTCCGTCTCCTCTCCCCACTGACAGACTCCATTTCCCATGAGCACCTGCTCCAGGTGCGGCCTGGGCGGCTCGGTCCGGCGTGGAGCTGGTGGCCGATATGGCTTCTGAGGCTTCGGTCCGGTTCTGGGCGGTCCCACCAGGACCAGGACTCTGTCCCTTTAAAAGGGACTGGTGGTGGGTCTCGGGGTCAGAGGTCGTGTGTGTGATGTCATCAGGTTGGACACACAGGAAGTGAACAAACAGGAAGTAGAGAAAAGCCTCCTGAACAGAAGGGAGAAGAGAGGTCCATGCGGGGTGGGGCGGCAGATATCGTGAGCCCCGCCCCTCGGTGGGAGGGGCTTCCTGAGGTCAGAGGTCAGTCCCCCCCTGCCCCGCCCCTATTTGCGGAGCTTCAGGTCCTTGTCGTGGAGGCCCTTCCCACCGTTCTGGGCCTTGTCCAGCAGCTTGAGGGCCTCCAGCAGGTAGCTCTGGAAGGCGGCCAGCGCGGCGCCGATGGCCGGCCCCCCGAAGCCGTGGGTCAGCAGACTGAAGTGGGTCAGGCTGGCCTGCACGCCGGCCTCCAGGCAGGGCGCCGGCCGGCCGCCGCCCAGCGGGGACCGGTCCTGGGACAGCAGGTCCAGGAACTCCTTACAGATCTCCCTGAGAGGGGACCAGAGGTCAGACAGCACGGGACAGGAACCTCAGATCCCCAGAACCTGAACCCTAAAAACCCAAACCCCAGAACCTGAATCCCAAAACCTAAACCTGAAAAGAACCTTCAGAACATGAACCCTTAAAACCAGAACCTGAGCCAGTACCTGAATCCCTAAAACCAGAATCCCAGAACCTGAACCCCAGAAGCTGAACCCTCAGAACTTTAGAGCCACTCACTTTGTGGCCAGCAGCATGCTGCGGCGGGTGGGCAGCTGGTCCGGGTCGCCCTGCCTGCACAGGTACTCCGCTGTTGCTCTGGCTGGAAATTCGGTCTCACACACGTAGCCGAAGTCCCTCGCCAGGTGGACGGCCTCACCTTCAGAAAGGGGCAGCCAGCATTAGCATCTAACATTAGCATCTAGCATTAACATCTACCATTAACAGCTAGCATTACTAGCTAACATTAGCAGCTAGAATTAACAGCTGAAATTAATAGCCAGTATTAACAGCTAGTGTCAGCAGCTAGTGTTAGCAGCTAGCATTAGCAGATAATATTTGCAGATAGTGTTAGCAGCCAGCATTAGCAGTTAATGTTAGCAGCTAGTGTTAGCAGTAGGCCATCAGATTAGTGGTTAAACAGACTTAAAGGACCCAGAAAAAGTCTGGTTCTGGGTTCTAGTGGTTTGGGGGCTTTCTGAGCATGTGCAGTCCACAGAGCACCGCCCTCTCTGTGACATCACCTCCCATCGGGTCACATGACCTCCCCACAGCGTCCATAGTCCCACTCCCCCCCCAACAGAGGACGTTTTCCTCACGGCTGGTCGGCTCTGCGGCGTGCACGTACGTGCATGCGTGTGCGTGCCTGCAGCCATCCGCGCAGCCTGTTTATTCATGTGAGCTCATGCGAGGACGCCTGTGCGTGTCGGGCTGTATACGGGTCACCCCGTGCACGTGTGTGTGTGTGTGTTTGTGGGTGCGTGCCTACCCTCCACCAGCGACGTCAGCAGGGTGACGTTGGCGGCCTTGCGGCGCCCGGCGGGCAGGTTGAGGCCGATCTTCTCCAGACGCTCCCGCAGACAGCGGCCGCCGTTCTTGGACTTCGCCCTGAGGAACCGGAACCAGAACAGGTCCGCTTTGTAAGCCGTTGTTGAAACCTCACTTTATTACTATTCTCTATCACTAAAATTATTATTATTATTACAAAAATACAATACAACTTTTTTTTTACATGTTTGTATATCTGGTAATGATCTTTTTACTGGTTTATTGCACCTATAATATTTGATGAACAGCGATTTGGGCAGATGTATCATTATTATTATAATCATCATTAATAATAATAACAATAATAGTAATATTAATAATAATAATAATAATGCAGCTGTTGTTAAATGTGCTGTATAACTAAAGTTGACTTTGACATTTGTAATCTGACCACATTTCTTTTCCAGCTCCTGCAGAAACCTTCAGTCTTTCTCCCACATTTTGTTATTGCATTTTAAATAAGTCATTAGTTTAGTTTTTTTCCTGTAAAGTGGGAGTTTTGGGCAACACAGAAAGCCCCTCAGATCCTCTAATCAGGCCCTCTTATGTGTTTGAGCCTCAGACTGGAGTCACAGACTGGTTCCCGTCCCGAGGCAGAGCTTCATTAAACCACATCGCTTCTCTTGTGATTCAGTCTCATGACCCAGTTCGGCTCCTCAGCTCCCCCCCCCCAGGCAGAAAGCAGAGAGCTTCTGTTTGGAAAAAAGCTTTAAATGTCCTCCATGTTCCTCTGAAGACTGTTAAGGCCTGAAGGCGCCTGATGGAAAGCGTGTGGACGCAAACAGGCTCAGATTATTTAGGCTTCAGTCATTTTACTGTAAAAAAGAAAAAAAATGTGGATCATGAGCTCCGTGGTCCTGTTTGGAGCAGGTTTCATTTAATTTCAACATCTGAGCATTTGATCCAAACCAGAGTCCAGAGAACTCAGAGTTCTGCTGGTTCTCCTCCAGAATGAGGCTTCATTTCCTGGAAATCAGCTCTGATCCAAACCAGAGTCCATCTGTTCTTTTGTTCATTTCAGAGGAAGAAATAGATTTGGAGTTTTTAATTTTGGGGTTTAAAAAGTTTCTGCTGCTGTCGGCACTTCCTGTTGTTGCAGGAAACTCCTCTGAAATCCACCTCATCTTTATTCTTTGTTTAATTTCTAACACCCAGACGAGTTCAGGTGAATTACAGGTTATTAGAGTGAACCCTGAACTGGTTCTCACTCGTTTAGCTTTCTGTAATAAAAGGTGAGATTTGAGTGCTTTAAAGGCCCAAACGGAGCCTTTGGTGTATGTGTGGTTATATAATGTCACCCATCCTGTGGAGGGGAGCTCAGTTCAGAGCAGAGTTACTGATTCATCCTCACTGACCTGCAGCTCTTTGTCACAAACTAAAACTGAAGTGATCAAAATGAAGCCGCACGGTTCCTTCAGCTGGACGATTTCCTTAAACTACCCATGATGCTTTGCTCTGATCAGAGAGCTGACAGGTTTTCTTTTTCTTTTGGTCTCACGAGGACAAAGGTTCTTTATCTGTTTACTTTTCTTTTCTGTTTAATTTTGTTTTCTTTGGTTTTCTGTTTAATTTAATTTGCCGTTGAATTGAATTTGTTTATTTTTGTTTTTTGTTTAATTGAATTTTCTGTTTAATTTTATTTGTTTAGTTTGGTTTTTCTGCTTACTTTCGTTTTGCTTATTTTTATTTTCCGTTTATTTTGTTTGCTTAATTTTTTTGTTTTTCTGATTATTTCTGATAATTTGATGATGTTTTCTGTTTATATTCTATTTAATTTAGTTTTTCATTCATTGTTGTTTTCTTTTTCTTTTTTTATTATGTTTTCTGTTTTTATTTTCTGTTTATTTTGTTTTTTCTGTTTATTTATGATTTTTGTTTATTTTCTGAATTTTGTTGTTTTTTGTTTTAGAATTTATTTGTTTTTCTGTTTATTTTTTGTTTGTATAATTCAAATTCTGTTTATTTTTGTTTTACTGTTTTTTTCTATATTGTTTCTTTTTTTGTATATTTAGCTGTTTTCTGGTTAACTGTTTTAATTCTGATTCCTGTTTTCCTCCCACTCTGTTTTTTTGTATCTAAACGGTTGGGTTGAGGTCTTTTCTCTCCACTGATCCACAGCCTGTTTTGTTCTTTTTTAAATCATCTGATGGAAATCTGTTCTTCTTCAGAGCATCACTGCGTGTTCACAGCTCATATTTCACAGTTTTAAATGATTGAGAACTCATTCTGGTTCTGAGTGTCACTCCCGGGCTCAGATCTTTAAACCCCAGATTACCCCCCCCCCACCACCACAACCACCACCACCTGGCTGGACTCACCTGCGCAGCACTCCGCCCAGCAGGGAGGCGTTCAGGCACTCGGGGGGCGACAGGCGCCGCTGCACCTCCCCCACCGTCACCTTGTACTTGGAGTTGGAGCTGAGCAGCGACAGGCGTCCCGGGACGGAGCAGAAGACCTCGGCCGGGTTGGACACGGCGCCCATGCCCAGCCCCTCCTTCCCCATGGACAGCGCCGACAGGGCCGAGCCGTTCAGCTTGGCCGGGATGGGCACTGGGGAGAGGGGGGGGGAGACGGGGTTAGCGGCGGCTCTAAATGCGGAGCGCCATCAGCTCTGAGCAGCTGCTGCTCCAGGCGGAGCTTCGCTGCGAAAATAGCTCCACTTCTCACCTCCAGCAGCTCCTTTGCACTCACTTTTCTCCACTTTCCTCCCCATCATCAGCTCGGCTACATTTATCTCTGAGCTCTCTACCAGCACACAGCCCTCTAACGTCCTGAGGGTAGAAGCAGGAGCTCTAAGGAGGCCCAAGTCCCCATAAGGACTAACTTAACTTAACTTAATCCTAACTTAACTTAACTCAACCCTAACCTAACTCAACCTTAACTTAACTTTACACTAACTTAACTTCACTTAACTCAACCATAACTTAACTCTAACTTAACCCTAACTGAACTTAACTCTAACTTAAGTCAACTAAACCCTAACTTAACTTAACTCAACGCTAACTTAACCCTAACTGAACGTAACCCTAATTTAACTTAACTCAACTCAATCTTGACTTAACCCTAATCAACCCTAACTAAACCTAACCCTAAATTGACTTAACCCTAACTCAACCCTAACTTGACTTAACTCAACCCTATCTTAACCCAAACTTAACTCAACCCTAACTTAACTTAACTTAACTAAACCTTAACTTAACTTAACCCTAACTTAACTTAACTCAACCCTAACTCAACTTAACCCTAACTTAACTTAACCCTAACTTAACTTAACTCAACCCTAACTTAACCCTAGCTTAACTTAACTCAACCCTAATTCAACCCTAACTTAAGTCAACTCCATAAGAAGGAAGGACCTCTTCACTGGAACACTCTGATGGACTGGGCCTGCAGATGCTCCCTTCAGGGTGAGCAGCAGCAGGTTTGGGGCAGAACCCTGAACAGGATTGACTCTCAGAGCCCAAACGGACCGACTTTCAGCTGCACAAGGACAGAAACGACCGGGTAAAACGATGCAGAAGCCCTAAACCTCCCCCAGGCTCTGGGCAGCTTCACGCTTTGTTTGGGCTCTCAGACATCAACACGCTAAAATACTGTCCAGGATTAAAACTGTTCCACAGCTTTTAAAAAGGTTCAATGTTCTTTTACATGAGGGATTCATGAACCCATCCACTAAACATAACCAGGACCACCACAAAAAGACACTGCTGAGTCCTCCACTCGCTTCTTCTTCTGCAACGTGATCTGAACTCTTCTTCTACAGTTTACTTCTTATTTACTTCTATGTTCAGTTTAATTTCATCGTTTCAACTTGTTACTTGTCGCTGCTTCATGGTCATACATCTTAGTCTCTGTGTGTTGCTTCCTAGATCTTGGATCCTATCTTTTGGTTCCTACCTCTTGGTTTCAACCTCTCAGTTCCTTTGTTCCTCCTGTCTTCTGGGTTTCGGTTCTTTAACTCCAGCTCAGTCTGAATCAGATGAATCGGGTCTCTATTCTCTCAGCTTTATAAGTCAGTTCTAAACTGATATAACTCATTTCCTTTAAACGTTACTGGAGAAACTGGAAGGTGGGACGGTAACATCTCATCCTGTGGACAGAGGGATGAGCCGTTAGCTCGGATTGGGTTTAGTTTGGATTTCTGTGGCTGCTCCAGCTGTGGAACATCTGGAGCCTTTGAGGCTCTGCTCGCTCCCCTTTGGACTGTTTTGTCCCCTGCAGCCGCCGTCTCTTCCCATCACCCTGCTGTGCTCTACAGTCCCCCCCCCCC